TTTTTAAGAATGTGATTTTGAGTTCCATTTATAAATATTTTTTGGTCCGAATGGAATGAATTAGAATTGAGAATTAGGACAAAAATTAATTTTAAATGATTTAAGATCCGTGTTTAAATAGTATTTTAAAATATCTTCTTAATTTAACAACTTACAAATAAAAACTTAAATATTTCTATTAATAATTTTTAAAGTGTTTACCCGCGTATTAACGCGGGTTCTAGTTTACTTAATAAAGAAAAACAAGCTAAACGCAAAAGATTTTACTTAATAATTTAAACAATAGTTTTATATATTTTGACTCGAACAAACCAACTGTTGACAAAAGAAAAAGAAAGAAAAACAGGACAAACTCGAAAGAGTTTACTTGACAACTTAACCAATAATAGTTTTTGACTCAATACATTTAAAGAGATAGCAATGGTTTTTATTTTATAGGCCAATTCAACCGGTTCGGTCGTTTAGAAACTCCACACACATTAGCCACTTCTACCACACTTACTGCAAACTCCACCGTTGTCACCACTTCCTCCGCCACCAGAGCTGCTCCCTCCACCGCTTTTACCACTTCCTCCGCCACCGTAGCTGCTACCTCCGCCACCGCGGCTCGTGCTTACGCCTCCGCTAAGGCTTGTGCTTGTGACTCCGCTACGACTGCTTTCGCCACCACCATAATTCCCCATAAGATGAAAGTCACGTTCATAAGCAGCAATACTGGCCAACCTTTGATCCATCTGATATTGAAACGCCTCATTCTCCCAGGCAAGGTCACGGTTCATGAATTCATCAAAGAAGCCATCGTAAAGGAACTGGTTCGGATCATATGGAGATAACCAAGGGGCTATTCTATTTCCACCAAACTGGCTCTGATGAAATGGGCATAACCAAGGACCAGTGTCCATTCCATTTCCACCAAATGGTCTCGGATAATATAAACCACACAAAGGAGTTGTGGCCATTCCATTTCCACCACCAAATGGTAAACCTATGGACATGGTTGGTGGGACCAAGTCAATGGGTCCGAAATGAAGGTCTGGAA